TAAGAGTTAAAACTATAAGATGCTTAAAACATAGACCAAAGCCTCATGACATGGGGCTTTTTGATGATTTGTTAGATATGACACCACAAGCACAAGCAACCAAAGAAAAAAATTGATGAAACGTGCTGCATCAAATAACATAGAATTCTATGATCAAGCCATTCTACTTCTGACACACACACACAAGAAGCAAACACAGAGACTTGAACAGTTACAGTCAGCCCTCCAGATCTGTGGTTCCACATACGCCAATTCAATCAACCTCAGCTTGCAAATTCATATGCTGTGGGTTAACCTACAAGGGTTGTCCTTGAACGTTTTTTCATACCATTATTTCCTAAACAATAGAATCTAAGAACTACTTAATAGCAATAATCTAGAGGGAGGATGTGCATAGGTTACATACAAATATCACACCATTACCTAAAAAAGAAGTTAAGGATCCATGTTTTTTGGAGCAGGAACTTGAGGGTAGGTGGGGGTGTTAGGGAACAGGTCCACAGTGGATACTCACAGAGAAGTGTAATGTTTAAAAAGATTTATTTATTTATGCATACAAGAACTGGGGTACATGACAGAGGGGAGTGAGGGGATTCATCAGAGACAGAGTGGGGAACAGAACAGGCAGATCGACGAAGTACACTGCTGAGGGTAGCAGTGGGCAAGACAGGAGAAGTCTGCCCTGTGGGTCAGCTCCCTGGCCGGGGATCAAACTCTTAGTGCAGTGGCTGTGGGTAGCTACCTCGTGTTGTGCTTTAACCCCTTGTGCCACCAGGGAGGGCCCGAGAACTATAATTGTATACTCATATTCATAGCAACATTATTCACAGTAGCCAAAAGGTGGGCACTACTCAAGTGTCTATCAACAGATGAATGGACAAAGTGGGATATACAGGACATAGACCATGGAATATTATTTGGCCCTGAAAAGGAGGGACATTGTGACACATACAGATGTAGATCTATCTGCATGCTAAGTGAAGTAAGCCAGTCATAAAAAGACAAACACTGCTTGATTTCTCTTATAGGCAGTGTTAGGGTAGTCAAAATTACTGAAACAGGAAGTAGAGAGATGGTTGTTACACTGGAAATGGGTCATGGGGAGTTTTGTTAAATGGGTGTGGGATTTCAGTTTGGAGAGATGAAAAAGTCCTGGAGATGGGTAGTGGTAAGGGCTGATGGACAATGTGAATGTGAGATGGGTGGGAACTACCATCTGCTTGCTACAAGCTGCTGACTGCAAGTCACAGGTGCATTCTGCTTAAACATCTGCCTGGTCCATAAGAGAGATAACTGTTAACCAGATCCCATCCCTAGGGAACAAGGTGGCCCCTACACCCACCCTAAGGCACCCAATCCCACCCCCCCCAAAAAACCCACCTTTTCTGATAAAAGTACAGGACATCTCCAAAGTGCAGGGAAAAGGGAGGTACCCTCCACCACCCAAAAAACCCCTCCCCTTTCTGAAGAAAGGAAACTCCTAATTCCATTACCACGCCCACAAAAGTGAGCTGTCCCCACAATGCCAGGGCTCTTCTCTGAGGCAGCCTGACTCTATGTAGTAATTCTTTGCATGAAAACTTTTGCTTATTGCTGCTGGTCTGCTCTTGAGTTGTCTGCGTGAGGACCAACGAACCTCGAGTGCTGGTAACAAGTTTTACTATGTTATGGCTCTTTCACCGGACACAAAAATGCTGGTACCTATTACCTGAAATCTCTCCAGGATTCCACCCACTTTACACGCGCACAGGACGTTGCCAATCCTTTTATTTTTGCCAATTTGACTGGGGGGAAAATGTCATTTGAAACAATTAGCTTAACAGTCTCTAAACCTTAAAGGATGTAGTGAAAGAATTTAACGAAGACAATCCGCATGAATTCTCAATGGGTCAAAATGCTGGGAAATAAGGTCAATTTCGACTCAGTTTTGCAAATGGAACTTTCTTAGCCGTGGCACCATGGTTTTTTGAATACATGTGAAAGCAAAAGAAACGTGGGGCGCACCGTGCAATCTTATAATGTTAGTTTCCTTCCTGGGGAAATCCGCTTCCTCTAAATACGGAAACACTAGCCCGGGGGAGCAGATACCGACGCCCTAAAAGTGCAACGCCCAGCCCTCAGGTCCGTCCAAGAGCAGGAAGGGGTGGGGCCGGTCCTGGACGCATGCGCCGACGTCCTGGCCAGGGAGTGGCCGCTCTAGGCAGCGGGGAGGTCGCGGGGTTGAGGGGCTTGGGAAACCAGCACGGCCTCTCCTCTATGGTCGTGGACTTGGGGCACCTCCTCTGCAGATCGTCCCTCGGTACTTCCGGAAGGGAAGCCGCCACCTCCTCTTCTGCTTCCGCGAGGGTCCAGGCTGGGGTCCGCGGCTGGAGAGGCCCGGGGACGAGCGCAGAGGTAAGCGCGGCTGGTTTGGGGAGGGGGCGAGGCGGGCTCGATTTCGGGGTGGGGTGTGGAGGACGGGTGTGGCCGGCGGCGTCGGGGGAGGTGTGCGGAGCTATCCTAGCCCCGGCCCCAGGACCTGGGCAGCAGCTGTCCCGGCCGCCCGGCGCCGACCTGGGCTCGGCCACCCTCCCCATCCTTTCGTGAGAGCCCCAAGTAGGCGCGGCCGGTCGCTGGACCTCACCTGCGTCCCCGCAGGGGTGAGGGGCAGAGCTCGCGCTCCAGGGTCTCGGCCAGACGAGGACGAGGCATCATCGCTTGCGCGCGTCTTGGAGGGGGACCGCGGGGCGCTCGACAGCCTGCAGCACCTGCCTCCCGCTGCGCCGCAGCTTGAATTGATCATGCGTCTGGTTAACGCAGAGCTGAGCTTCAGATCTAATTCGCAAGGTACTAGCCTGCCCCAGGCGGAACGATTGCTCCCGACTGAAAATAGGGCGGTGGACGTGGAGGAAGGAGAAAGTGAAACCCCAGATTCGCTGAGGTCAGGATAGATCTGGCTCTTGTGATCCCGAGCTCACAGCTCAGAAATCGGAATCTGTGCAAAAGGGAGTTTAAAAATAGCAAATGAGAGTCAGGGTGTATCTAACTGGGCGTCTCTGACGAGGCCGGGGGTGGTCCTGTCAGTGCTGACGGCGGCTGCCCCCCAACTTTGGTGGAGAGGTGCAAGCGAGAGCCCAGCTGCTGCCATGCCCCCAACTGTCTCCGTTGGGTCCAGCCCGCCGAAGCCCATTGGTCTCTCCTTTGGGGGTTGTCTCGATGTCACGCTCAGAAAAGCCAATGGAAAGGCGCTGTGCCTTCCCGGGCACACCCCAGTGCCAGTGCAAAGTGCACGTGCGGGTGGGTGGTTGCGTTTGTTTCTGTCACGCCTGTTTTGTAAACAGCCACCTTGAGCATAGGCATTGGAGCTGTGTTTCAAGTTTATGTCTCCATAAACCGTATTCCTCTAGCAGTTGTCTTTTTCTTTTATGCTCCATGTTTTGGCACTGGCCCTTCCTGCAAAGTGGAAACTCAGTAAATATCATTATTAATGATTCTGTTCATAATACCAGTCGACCACACATCAGACTCTTTTTGAGTACCGATAGCAGGATTTGCCATTTAAATTTCCTGCAAAGTACCTATTATTATCCTGATCTTATAGATGGAAAATGTGAGGTTCATGGAGGATATATTCATGGGACCTGGCTTAGAAGCCAGGTCTAGTGCACCTGGCTCTTGTTTCTGTATCAGCCTGTCAGGGACATGCTAGTCCAGATGAAAAAGCATGCTCACATGAAAGTTTTGCTAGTGCACAAAGGTAGAAAGGGTTAATCTGGTTTATCGGGAGAGTCAGGAAGGGTGGTGTTAGTGATGGAAGACTTTCAGATGACAGGGAGTTTGGGTCTTGTCAGTTGGATCCTTTTGATCAAATGATGTGGAGCCTTGTTACAGGTGCAGGGAACAGTGTGATGTGGGAAAAATCTCAAGGAATTTCTCTGTGGGACTGGAGGGTTGTGTGTGAATTGGACCATAGTAGGGATAATCACAATAGTTGTGGCAGCTGACATATTGCACTGTCAGAAACTATTCTGAGTGCTGTGCTGATCATTTTACCCTGTCTACCCTTCCAGGCAGTTATTATTGACGTCCCCATTTGACAAATGAGGAAACGGAGGCACAGCGTGGTAAAATGACTTGCCTGCGGTCACTTAGTAATTTGGTGGAACTAGATTGAACTGAATCATTCTGATGCCAGAGTTTGTACTCTGAGTTTAAAAGTGATGTGATGTTGATTGCTACTAGGTCATAAATATTCTTAGGTGACGGGCTTGCAACTATGGACTTTATTTTTTTCATGGTCAGCAAGGTTTCAAGCAAGAAGAGGGCATGATCAGAATTTTGCTTTAGGAGGATGATTCAGGCAGTGGAGAGAAGAGGAAATGAAACTGAAAGTGTTATTTAAGCTTCATTTTGTTCATACCATGTCTATACCTTGTCTGAAACATGCTTGAGCATGTGTTTATTTTAATTTACTAGCTCTCTGGTCCCATGACATCCTCATGCTAGTGATATCCTAAGAGCATGTTTAAAATGTACATTCCGGGGCCTCTCTCCTGTGTCCTTTTTTCGGTGCAACAAATTTCCCAGGTGATTCTGTTGGAAGTTTTAAGAAATTACTATGAAAAGAAGCCATATATTGGTGGGTTTGATTTTCCCATGCAAATATCTGGAGCCTATCTTTATGCCAGCTACTCTCAAGCATGATGATAGAACTCTACGGTCTGGTTCCTGACCTCCAGCAACTCACAGTTGTAGGGGAGGAAAGACTCCCCACGTGGCAGTGCCCAACCCTGAGAAGCATATGTCAGTTGAAAAGAGGTGAGTCATAACAGATTAGTTTAAAAACTGAGAATTACAGAGTGGGTTACTGGTGATCACCAGTAGATTTTGATCCCTTCCTGAGTTGCTGAGCCTCCACCATGTTCACGATAGGATAGGCTGTTGAAAATGTGCCATGACAGAAACAAGAGAGGACACAGAACCGCAATGTCCCTTTCTACTTGCTTTCACTCTTGTCCAGAGCGGCAGTAAACCACGGGGCCTCAAAGCTTAGGCAGTAATCAGCATCCAGTGACCGAGATACCTTTGCCCTGGTGACTTCTGACCCTTATCTGTCCAAAAAGAAAGTCTGTGTATTTGGAATGGAAAAATACAAGCTTTTGTAAGGCGAGAGCCTGAAAATGCTTCCCTTGTGTTACTGAAAGAACCAGTTTGGGTTTTCTGTTTTTAACAAAAATGCCAAACAGACTTCAGAACTGTCCCCTGAGCACAGTTTACTTTCCAAAACCAAACAAAACCCGACAGGGCAACAATTTCTTTGCATTTATGACAGGCACAAAGTAATCCAGACTCAGGAAAGTCTGTTTCAGAGAGAGAGTGTGCAGAAAGAGATCCTTGCACCTGCAGGGCACGCGCATAATGTCCACCTCTTGCCGCCTCTGACCGTTGCCCTGCATACTCTTGGGTTCAGTTCTTTGTATTTCAGCCACTAGAAATGGGTGGTCACTCTTTGGACATTTAATAATGACTGCAGGGTTCTGCCACGGTTTATAATGGTGTCTGTCTCCAGAGGACTTGGAGTGCCAGAAGTCGGGGTGCTCCCAGACACCCTCACCTGCACTGTGAAGGCCTTGCCGGTGTGTCTCACCAAAGCAGCCACAAGCAGATGCGCGTGTTCCAGACCAAGCACTGCTGGGTTCACGTTTCCCTCTCGGTATGGCAGTAGCAGCCCCGTGGCAAGCCCCAGAACAGCCTCGTGCTGTGAGCCCAGGCTTTAAATCAGACTGACTTTTTTCTTTTTAATTTTCAGTGTACTTTACTACAGGTCTCTGAAGTGCATATAAACCATTTTAGTGCAACATTGCATATGTAGTTCTCCTTTAAAAAACAAATCAGTCACTCTACATCATGCACGGATAGTATTCTTCCCCACTTTTTTTTTTTTTTTCGTTAATTAAGGCAGAGAAGCCATTACTGGGAAAGAATATGAAAACTTACTACAGAAACACCCCTCTTAGAGCAGCTGTGATCATAGTCATACCCTGCAATGGGCCTGGCACCGAGTCGATTGCATAAATGCCACATCACAGCTGTCAATTAAGCCACGACAGTGGTGGGCAGTTTCCCGGCCCTGGGCCCTGGTCTCAGACCAGAGCGTCCCTAGACACTGCACTGAGGCCTCACCGCCACCAGCGGCACCATTCCCAGCCGGCTGTTTCTCTGGAAATAGCCAAAGACAGAAGGTCTTGGGGATTTTCAGACTGGAAAGCTCATCCTTTGAAAGTATCCCCTTGCCCAGTAAAAAACACACAGAAAGAAAAGTATTAAAATGCTGGCTTCTGTTTCATCTTTCCTCTCAAATTTCCTGGAATGAATTCACATACCTGATCACCTGCTGCACCTCATTTTAAGCAATGCAGACTCAAATCTTAGTTTCACCTCCCAGTCTCCCTGGCATCTTCACAGACAGAGGAAACAGAAGTCATCTCCCCTTGTTGACTCAATCTGTAAATTAGAGCAGAAGAAATGGCACCTGCCTTCCTCACCCTATGCCAGTTGTGCACCTCCATAAATGAGAAGGAGCAGGGGAAGAGGCACTACCCCTAACTGTCCCCTGGAAGCCCTGGGGAATCTGGGCAGAAAAGAAGGTGGTCAGACCGTGATGTAAGACCTGCTCTGTCTCGTGTGTAAAGTGGAGACAATTCTAAGTGTTGCCCCATAGAATTGTGCCTTTCACATACGGGTCAGTAATCTCACAGCCCATTATTCTGTCGCCAGGTACTACGTAATGAGAAGAAATAGCCTAATTAGAGTCCCAAGTAAAGCCAGGATCATTTTTTTCTTACAGTGAACATTTTTGCTAAGGAATGACTGAGGTCTTTTTCAGATTGGAATCCTAGTGCATTAGCCCTAAAAGTATTATTCCTAAAATATTAAGTATGGGCCCTCCCTGGTGGTGCAGTGGGTTAAAGCACAGCACTATGATGCTAGAAGCAGCCACTTCACGAGTTCGATCCCCAGCCCAGGAGGTGACCCACATGGCATGGCAGACCTCTCCTGACCCGCCCACTGCTCCCTCAGTAGTGTATTTCTGGTACATCTGCCTGTTCTGCTCCCCACTCTGTCTCTGGTGAGTCCTCTCACCGCCCCTGCACCTCTGGCCTGTACCCCAGTTCTGTATGCATAAATAAATAAATCTTTAAAAAAAATATGATGTATATGCTATAGTCATAATGGGCATTTTGTTGAATGACAAAGTAGAGCCAAAACCATAGAGGAATGAACCAGTTTGGAGCTTACAGTCTGTAAAGAGGGAGCCCTCGGTGCATACTGAGCTCTATAATGAATGACGGTTCTCAGTTAAACTCAGAATTAGTGTATTCTTTGATAGACTCAATAAAAAAGATTGTCAGCTCTCCTCCATGGTTAGTTGGGGGTTAGAGACAGACAGGTGAGTGCCACCGCGGCTCCTGGACACAGCAATGGAGTGGTTCCTAGGTGAATCGGTGGATAAACACTTGACAAAGTCAGACAAACAAGTTTTCCTTCTTCTGGAAGAATTGCCAAGTCCACTTCAGGATGTTTAATTATTAGCAAGCGGTTACACTTGACCCACATTTTCCCCCCATAGATGTGCAGACAACACTACCTTGTCCGTTAGCCTGTTTCTTTGGGTAAACAGAAAAGGTTCGTGGTGACAGCGATCTAGGAACTGTCTCGAGGGACTGCGGTGATTGTTTCTATCAGTTGTGTGAACGGATCAAGCCCGTGAACATCTCGGAATGGCCAGGCGCGTGTTTTGTTCGTGTGTGTCCATGTCACGGTTCCCGCGCTAGTGCTTTCCGAGATTTTGTGCCATTTCTTGATTGGCACTGCCAGTTTAGATAGGGTATGTTCCTTGGGAACATCTCTCCAGGAGTTTTTCAAAGTTACATTGACATGTTAGACCTGTTAGAATTAGTTTTTGATGAAATGGAGGGGCGTGAAAGCAGTGACAACTTTAGGGTTCCTCACTCGTGTGGATCAGGAAGCGTCCCCACCTGGAAGGTGATGTGTGAGAGGGGCCCATGTTTCCTGAACACTTCCTAGGTATTCCTCATGCTTGTGACAGCCCTGTGAGGTTAGCAGTGGTTCCCCATACACTGGGAGTGGAACTGGGAGAGGGTGAGTTGTGCATCCCCCTTCTCGGGGGCTGTGGTCCAAGGCCCCCAGTAAGAGTCTGCTACCCTAAAAGTAAAGCAAACCCATGCTTTGTTTTATCCTCTCTTTTCCACCTAGAATAAAGTTTACTTTAGAAATCAGACAGTAAGAGCCGCCCTGGTGGCACAAGGAGTGAAAGTGCAGCACTGTGAAGCTGTCCGCAGCCACTGCAGTGCAAGTTCGACCCCCGGCCAGGGAGTGACCACAGGGTGCAGCAGACCTCTCCTGTGCCGCCCGCTGCTTCAGCAGTGTATTTCAGTGGATCTGCCTGTTCTGCACCCCACTCTGTTTTGGGTGGATCCTCTCACCACCACCCCCCCACCTCTGGCCTGTACACCAGTTCTTATATGCATAAATAAATAATCTTTTTTACAAATCAGACAGTAAGAATATCAACAATAACTAATAACCGGACAGTTGTAACAGTGTACCGTAATAAAAGTTATGTGAATGTGGACTCAAGCTATTTTCAGATGGAAATTGACTTGGGTGACTAAAATTGAGAAAAGTAAAACCTGGGGTGGTGGCGGCTGCTGTAATTTGTTGGCAACTTTGTGGCTCAATAAATAGAGGAACAGGAGCTCAGAACAGGTCTTCTGATTTTAAAACTCAGGGGTGTGACTCTTTGTCACACCAGGGGGTAAATAGCACCTACAAATTTTAAGTGTCTTAAAGCCTGGAAATATTTGATTCCGGAAAGAGCCCACAAACCCTCACTCTACCTGGTGTGAGCTGTGTCTCCGAAAATATGTGAGAATAAAGCCTGCAAAATCTTCAGGCTTGCCCCTTGCCCCTAGGTGCCTCCTGAACCTTTCACCCACTGAATCTGCTAAAGAGTTATCTGGCCTCCAAGCTAGAGCAGAATAGAAGCTGCAATTTGGAAAATTCTGGGGAAGCCCTGCGGGCAACTGCTTTCTCCATGATGCTCAACAGTAACAAGCAGACAGCCAGCCCAGAGGCAGGGAACTGGAAGCTGACAACTGCCAGGCTCCCGCTGACTCAGTTAACCTAGAAACATCTCTGGCCTTCGCCCCTGCAGCTGCGGCAGGGCCCTGGAGGCACAGGCAGCCCCTGAGGCCCAGCAGGTAACTGGCCAGGAAGACCAACGAGAACCAGGGTGAGGGAGCAGCTGCCGAGCTCCTCAGGGTGAGCGGCCACATCAGATGTTTGCAGCAGAAGCCAGTGATCTGGATTTTTATGTGAAATCATATATATATATATATAT